CTGAAAATCCTCAAATAAGCTATTGTCACACACATTGTAGAAAGTCACACAACTGTTTGGCGACTACTTTCTCCAGAATCTTAGAGAGGAAGGGAAGGTTATCAATCAATCAATCAAGCTCAATATTAGCTGTGATATCTTAGTAAGACAAAGTTAGATAGATTTTATTAAAAGTAGATTACTTTTAAGAATGCAAAACATGCTTGACAAGATGGGACTTTTTAGAATAGTTTCAATTTTTAATTTCCCAGGCTTTTTACTGTATCAAAAGCCATGCCCTCATAGTTTAGCTCCCCTCCTTTTAAACAGCTGAGCCAGTATTCCCAGTATCCTTCTGAGTAATTGAAGGCAGCTTGATTAGGAAGCCAGACTTGATTGGCTAGTTGTGGATCACATGTGTTGTTGTCTCATCTATGCTTTCTGTCTTTCTAAACACATGTGTAAGCTACCATTAGATATCCTGCCTGGAAGAAAGGGGTTTTGGATTATGTAACCATGACGTAAGTACTGGAGGATTTGACTAGTGCATGCTCTGTTTCACTACCAAATACAGATTATATTCCATAAACAGTGAGTCCTTCAGGTTGTTTGAGTGATATTTACTCAGCAATCCTTTGGTTGAATAAAGGATGGTGCAAGTAATCCACATGTGGTATATTTTTACAGTCATATCAGATTCACTCATCTCATATTGCTGGAGATGTGGACTCACTGGACATGAAGACAATGTGACATGTTACAAGATCAGAGATTTGTATACACTGTAATTGTGCTAAACTAGGCTAAACATTTCACAGAATTACCTCTTTATTGAATGTGCAGAGATGAAATTGATATTTATATTGATAATACCGATCACATGGCAGTATTTTTTGCGGGAACAATGTCACATATTATAACTTACCTGATACCATAGGCTGGAAGAAGACAGGGCAGTTTAAGTTCAACTTTTGTTTTATAAGGAAGACTAATTTTTGTTTTTGTGGAGCACCTAGTTTCTATGAGTGCCTAAATTGAACCCAAAAAGGTTCCAGTCCCCTAATTCAACATAACCCTAACCCTAATTATTATAAGTTCATTTTCAGTGCTGTTTTCTTAGTATTTAGCTAGCTGTGTGTTTACACAGAGAGATGCAGTTGTGTAGTTTTTTAGGAGGGGATCACCAACATTGCTGTACACAGGGTTTTAGAAATACTGAGGTCCAAAACTTTCTAGTTTTGGGACATTCACCAATATTCTTTTTTAGACAATTATTTCACAAATTGTATTGTATACCCCTTGGAAACAAATACCAGGTGACCTCCATAGTAGATCCGGCCATGCTCACAAGAGGTGGCAGTCCTCAATTAGAAGTAAGGGTACTCCTGGACAAAAATCAGTAGTGCCGGTACTGGTGAGTACTGGCCCATTTCAGATACTGTTTTTTATCTTATGTTTAATACACAGAAGTTTGTTCAGTGTGACAAGCTCCTAAAGGGCTCGCACTGTCTTACAATAGCAGTTCCAGCAACAAACGACCTATCCAAAATAGGCCTCTGGAGGACACTCATCCCCCTGATCGTGTGATTTCATCATTAGGACAAGGCTTTCCAAAGCAGGAGATGCTGAATGATACTGTATAAGATGATGAAATGTCTGGAGTTTGGTGGCAGGAATAGAAAAACCCATCAAAATCCTCATGGCTTGCTGAATAGTAAAACATGTCTTGGGGTGTATGATGTCTGGGCCATTCCTTGCCATCTTTACTAAACTAATAGGCCTTTTTCACAGCAGCCATTTTGACATGAAATAGTAGGGTAATCACAGGTGTTAGTAATTATATAGGTTATGTTCCATTTGTGTAATACGGGATTTCCAGTGAGACATCATGAACAATAGCAGCACTCTGACTCTTTTTGACTTTAACCTTCAAACAACTAATCAGAGCCAGAGTTGATGGTCTCATTCCCAGCATCAATATTTGACACCTTGGGAATGAAACAATCAACTATCTTTCAAATATCTGTTTTATCAGTGTCTCTGTGGCTTTATAGCTGGCTCTAACAAATTTCCAATTTAACTCCAATGAGAAACTTTCTAGGTATTCCTTCCCTCAAAACTAAAACCTCTTCTTGGTATTGCTACTGTATATCACTTGTTTATAATATAAAAATAATATTGCATGATGTATTTAGCTGACCTAGTATTATTATATAGTTCTGCAGACTTTTTCAGCCTAGCATGGAGACATTAGGAGAATGAGGAACTGCAGAATGATCGTGAGAGTTAGAGGAAATGAACAACACTTAGATATGACTAGAGAGGGCTATAAAGGGACACAGCTAGTTGTCAGTTTTACACACATACATACACACAAAAACATTACACAACATGTATAAATACATAGCTAACAACAGACAGCTCATACAGGTATTTTTGTATATGCAAGTTCAGTAAGTATTTTTTGCTGATATATTTGACTGTAGGACAGCTCATATAATGTGTTGCCATAAAATGCCAAATAGCGTTGTTGTCACGATTCTAACAACAACAGTCTAACAATCATGCAAGGCAAGATTGCAAAATGTGTTCCTTGTTCTTCTGAACTCATATTTATTCAGTCCTTTCAGAGTAAAAATAATGAAGTTATCAGTTCTCCTTTCATTGCTACCGCAGCACTAGGAGGAAGTGAGGTGCTAGTTAGCAGTGCTGTGAAAGACTGAGGGATAACACATTGAACACTGTATATTAGCATAAGCAAAAACGATTTCTCTTTTAAAAATACAAAAAACATGATGACTGGATATATTTGCTACATTTATCAATCAATCGTCCATTGTGGGGAGTGAGCTATTTTAATAGTTTGGCAGTTCCTTTTTTTTGGGATGACTCAGAACATTTTGATGTGGCTTCCATTACACTTCAGCTCCCTTCCCCTGACCCAGATACTGCAAAATACACTTACTACTTCTACTACTACTGTACCGAAGTGCTGCTGCTACTGTTACTACTACTTCTACAGTACATGTGGTTTCCAAGTTTTTAGTCAACTTTAAAATGTTCTGAGTTAAATATGACTCTATAATACTGCTATTGCATAATATAACTAACAAAGTAACAGGTACAGAACTGCTGTCTGCTAGCCAGGAAATACAAGTATAACACCTGCTTCTGACACCCCCAACTCTTTATCTGAAGTAGTCTAAATAATTGTGTGAAGATGACTCATGACCGGTGTCGTGAACTGTGTTGTCCTTCACCTCCTAGCACACACGGACATACAGCCAGGCACCACATGAACTGAAAACTATCCCCCCTCCACAGATACATAGACCTGTGTGAAGGAAAGGAGAAATCAGACAGAAATCAGAGCTATGCCACATGGAGACAGAAGCAAGGGTGAAGGGGGAGGTGTGAAAATGAGAATTTAAAAGAGCATGTGAACAAGAAGAGAACAGGAAGAGAGAAAAAAAAACCTGTCTAGGAAATGAGAATGCAAAGGCAGAAGTGCTGGGGCTTGTGTCAGTGACGTGGGAGCGAGTGGTGGAGGTGTGCAGGCAAGAATGACAGCAGGTCTGATTGAGTAGACAGCAAATATACTTGCGACATATACTGGCAATTCAAGTTGATGAGAAGAGACAGATTGTTAAGAAGCAAGTGAAACTTTGGGGGCTGACTGCAGCTGGAAAATGGGGTGAGTCATTTTGTAATACTAGCGATAATGCAAATGCACCTAAAACTTTTTTCTCCCAGATCCATTTTAATGTCCCGTGCATGAATTACTGAAAGAATGCAGAACAGTACTGCTTCATATCAACTCTATGCTTGACTTCTAACTAGCTCTTCAGTTCTGCCTACATTTCCTGCTGTGTGCAAGGGTATGGCGCTTGTAGCAGGTGTTCTGCTCGCGTGTAAAATGAAAATATCAGAGCTGGAGTATCAGTATTTGCTGTAGACAGAGCATGTTATTAAATCGACTTTAAGAACTAATGATTTTGTGAAGTTAGCAGTCTATATCTCACCCACAGGTAAAATAATGTAGTCCATATTAGGCAGCATTGTTCTGAGAGCACAGGAAGTGGTCAACACATGAAAACCTGAAAAAGGCAGGAAGTAAAGATTTCCCACAGACTACAGACTTTGCAACAAGTCAATTGAAAATAACTCACTGTCACAATTCCACATAGAGTTTAGAAACAAGTATGTGCAGTACTGCATTGCAACACCTAACAACATATCTTCATAAAAGAAGTAAATTAACATAACTTAATTTGCCTCAACACTCAATCATAAATTAAACCTAACTCAAAAATAACTGTTGAAGTAATAACTCAGTTGTTACATTTGTACAGTGTTTTAAGTATTGCTGATACTCATTTTCTTTAAGTTGACTTCACATCATCGCAAAATTAAAAAATACCCCCACTGTGCTATAATGTTAACAGCTTAATTACAGCAGTATTAATTAGAGTTTATCCACAGAAAATTAATTGACTACCACTTTGATAATGGATTTATTGTACATTTTTGGGGAAGAGAAGCTGTTTGACACATTCTTTTTTGGAGAAATGCTGCTACTAGTTTTACGTTTGATTAAAAAGTGGTACAATTAACTGAATTTAACCAAGTTACCTTAACAAATTTCACTACATTTATCTGAAAGCAAGCAAATGTATATACATTTAAATTAAGTTAAAATGTTGTTGCTTATATGTATCAGAAATAGTCGTCAAACACATCATAATCACTGACAGAGGCCTCTCGGCTGCATAATAAGTACTTTTACTTTAATTACATTTTACATATAATACTTTAAGATACAAGACTTTTACTTGTAATAAAGTATTCTTACATTGTGGTACTTTTAAATCTTTTTTATTTGCATCCTTTATTTTTAAAGTAAAGGATCTGAATACTTCTTGCATTACTGATATACTATGTCAGGTCTACGACAAGTACAATACAATAGTTAATCTATATCCGATTATGGAAGATCAGTGTTGAGTAGGGCTCTGTATCTGTTGACCTTTGTCAATGAGAGAACTGTACTCATACCAAAACCTTTTTCAGTACCTTGCTATGGGAAATGTAAATGTGTTTTTCTACAAAAACCCTTTTATCATTTCCTTTACAGCAGGCTACAGCAGTTTCTCATAAATAAGTTTTGTATTCATTAGTCACTAGGACTAACCCTAATCCCTAAAAAAAGTTACTCATTTTATGCCATTGATATTCCTATGACATAAAATGATTAACCCTTAGTGACTAACGACTAAATATAATATGATACGATAATGGTTGTATCTTCAAACTACAAGGAGTTCTATCAAATGATTGGCATGATTTAAATTGATTAAATTTCAATTACAATAATATGTTCTTTAATCCAGTGTTAATTTGATATTTAACCATAGACAGTACACTTTGTGCACAATTATTAGGCAAGTGA